GCACTGCCTCTTAGCTCACAAACTGAATAGTGCATTTGCATTGAACAGAAATCAGTGTCTCAGATGGCCACTACACCTGCCAAGGTATTCTGGGTGTATCTTCACAGATTCTTGTATATTTAGCGATTATAATGTTTGTATATGCAAAAATGCTAGCTTGATTTTAAAAAAATCTTTAAAATCTGCTGCAAATTTAATGATTCCTATGACGGGGAATTCTGTAGTTCTGTGAAACAAAAGATTCTCTCTCCAGAGTACTAATATTTTGATGCATGTATTCCACCTTATTTTGATGAACTCTTTTCCAGTTTTGCAAATATTAGATTGCGACACATCAGACCAGATCCTGGGGTGCAGTTCATCAAGCACAGCTGCTGAGCGATGCCTCCTCATTTCAGCTTGTGGTGGGTGGGGAATGGAGGCAGCCTGGAGACGGCGGCTGTTAAGAGAGCGGGGTGCTTGCGGGAGCCTGTCCGCCACCTCTAAACACAAAGCCCTTCATCTAATATTTGTTGCTGTTGCCAACTTTTTCAGTGGAAATTATCTCAGACTTACAGAAACCATAACATATACAGTAGTTGCTTTTTGCGGAGGGGGGTGCTATCTGTCCTGCTTTCCACTGGGGAAAACGCTTGCAGCTTTTAGAAGTGGGAGGGTGCTTTTGGGAGCACCAGTTGGGGATATTTAAAAAAAAAAGAGGGGGGAGAGGAAGGAAGGAAGAGAATTTCTTAGCTAACAGAGTGGCAGCACGCTGTAAAAATATTACTATATTGTGTACTGGCTCTAAGATGTAGAATCTTTAAGGAAGCCAATCATGTGTAATCATCCTAGCAGATTAATATTAGGTTGTTAAGGCTGCTGTGTTTTAAAGGGCATTTTTATTTGGGTTTTTGGTGAAATACTTTTAATTTGTTAATTATCTTCATATGAAAACAGGATTCATTGATAATAGCTCTAATTACATATGTATGAAAAAAACCCACCAACACTGGATGATCTAGTTGATAATTTAAGCCTAAAATAAATTGTGTTAAAACACTTCAGTTACATGGAGATCGCAGTATGCTTTGTACCTGGTGTAAATGGTCTGAGCAAGCTTTGCCTCCCTTTCTTCCCTCAGGATTGCTAATTCCACCATCCCTTCTTCTGCTTGCCTTTTGGGGCGCTCTGGCCCCACCTGTCCCTTCCCCCACTTCCAACTTCTTTGCCTCACCTTTCATCCGGGTCGCAGCTTTACCCAAAACACCAAGTGGGCTGGCATGCAGACCGCCAAAGGGCATGAAATAATTGTTTTTGGGACCTCCCAAGAGAATTTCCCGTTCTCGTTGAGAGGATGGAAGGTTGATGTACGAATTGCACTGCCTTTCAGTGTCAAACCTGATGTTTCAGTGAGGGTATAAAGGAGGGGAATAGATTGAAAAAAGATTAAGAAAAGACCATGATTTCAAACGACTGTCCTCTTGGGAAGGGTTCTTGATGACCCTGGATTCACCCCTTTCAGACTCAGTAGATTTGTTTGCACATATGAAGTATTTCTTGCATTCCCATTTCCCTTCCCTCCCTCCTCTTGGCATCTCAGTCTGGAACAAGATGCAGTAAGGAGCATGTCCAATGGACTTCTTTCCCTGGCTGATGCTGAGTTATATGAAGCATCTACATGTGGCAGTTCATAAAGTGAAGACTTCAGAAAATGAACAGCCTGGGAAAAGATGTGGCTCCTTTAACATTACTAAGCAGCATGGCCGACAGGAGGAAGAGGAGGAGGCAGGCATGTATCAACCACTAAACCTAGTCCTTCCAGAGGCTTGAGACTCTTCAATGTATTTATAGCCAGTGACCAGGGAAGATGGAAGATTTTGTACCCTGAAAGGTGGCCTAAATGCTGTTTAATAAATACTGTCCATTTTCCATCTCCAATGTATAGCAAAGGATTAACATACATGGAACAAGTGAACCACTTTTTAATTTCAATCTATGAAGCTATTAAAACATTGAAAACCTGTATCCATCAAACAAGCATAGCCTGGGATGAGTGAATGAGACAAGCATAGAAACAGACACTTTGTGAACCAGAATAAGAAGAGGCAGCTGGAAGCTTGGGACAAGAGCTGGGATCAGGAAAACAAGCAAGAATAAGGGAGTGTAAAGCAGGTAGAGAAAACAAGCCAGTCTCCTATCCTGTTGAACAGATAGGCACAAGGGAGCAGCACTAATGATTTACCAGGTGTGCTGTGTTTGTCTTCTTAACCAGAAGGCCATGCTAATCATACAAATGCAAACTTGTCTCCTTGCCAAAGGAGAAAGTGAAAGGACTGGAAGCCAATTTTTCTTCTTTATCAGAGAAGACACAGCACTTCTTGAAGCCAGCAGTACAAGATCTTTGAGGGGGATAGGGCACTCTGTTCAAGAGCAGGGACGTGAGAAGGGTGTCAAGGAGAAAGATGACGTCCTGCTGGGAGTAAGGAGGACTTGGAAGCATGTGACAAGGAGGGGTGGACAGAAAGCCATGCTCCAAGCCCCTGGAGCTGAGTGAGCCCAACCACCTGAGCTGGTTCTATCATCCTAACTTCTCCAGAACAATAGAAAGAACTGTCAGTGTTGTGCAATCAGTAACACCAAAGCTTTCCATTGAGAAGAAAAAGATAAGTGGAGGTGGTGGGAGACTCAGCAGGATCCTGGAAGCGAAGCTAAGATGATGAAGTTGTTAAGAAAGATTGGATTCTAGGCCATGACTTATATTGCTCCCAGGGGCTTCTGCCTGCCAAATGAATGCTGGAAAGGAAAACTTCCTCAGTGTCTGCATTCCCGTGAAATGTCATCTGCTGGGATGACAAAGTCTGGCCTTCTTGGTCACTGCCTTCCTTCACCGGGACAGCACCCCTCAGAGATTAAGTCCATTCCATACAGCAATTAAGTCCTGTTTTTTTCAATTAAGTCTGGTGTTTGGGGTCCGATTACTGAATTTCCCCTTCCTATGGGGGAATGCTGTATGTAAGTGGGCTGTTCCTTGGTGCTTGTGCCTTCGTTATGTTTTGAATCCTATTTACTGTATTCAAATCTGCAAGCTATGGGTTTCTGATTAGAGTGGCACGTAAGCCTAATAAAAGAATAAGTAAGTAAATCAATAGAACCAACCAACCATCAAAGGAATTCTTAGGGGATGGGCTGCAGCTCAAAAAGGCAGGAAAATAATGCATTTGGCAAGAGCTTTGCACATCTCACCAAGAAGGTTGCACACTAAATCAGAGCAGGGAGGGAGACAGAGACACAGACTCCTGTAGAGGAAAGATGGGCTGCAAAAGCTAATTGAGGGAGATGAGGCAGCAAAGGATATTCAGAAATTCTCCATACACAGCGATAGGAAGACCAGCAAAGAGCGATACCCCAGTCTCCATTATCTGTGCATCCATGCGCAGAACACTGGCAATAAACAGCAACTAGAAAATTTGACACAAAAGAAGAAATAGGATCTGTTTGGAATCATGGAAAACGGATGGAATGACATGATTGGAATGCAGACTTAGAAAGATAATAAGTACCCTGTAGAAAGGGAGCTGGAGACAGAGTGGTTTTATAGGTAGAATAACTATTTACCCTGTGAAAAAACTAATGTCCCGGAATGTGGAAGTCCTGTTGAAAGTATCTGGGTAAGGTTAAATGGAGCAAGAAACAAATATTGGGTCATCTACCTGTTGTGGACAGGTCCAGTTAGGTCAATGTCTTTCTAAATCAATTTGCCATTTCTCAAGAGAGCAGGCTGGAGTGGTAATGTGGAACTTCAACTACCCTAATAACTGCAGGGAAAAAAGGGATCCAATAGATTTCCAATTTCTCTTGCAAACAATGACATTTTTCAGAAGAAAGAAGAAACAAGGGGAATCAGCTATTCTAGACCCAGTCTCAGCCAACACATTGGCAGACTGAAGGTGTCAGGCATCTTCTGAAAGAAAGTAACCATGTCACACTGGAGTTCAAGCAAACTCAGTGAGGAAAAGCTGAAGAAGCAGTTATGTACCTTGGACTTCAGAAAGCTAGATTTTAACAAACTCAAATCAGGCAATGCTCCATGCCTTGAAATCCTAAAGGAGATGAGAAGTCCTGAAAATGTAGGTAGAAATGATCCCAATGAAACGAGGAAAGCTTTAAGAGGTGAATGGACAAACTGAGAAGCAAAAGGGAGATGAAAAGGAAATGGAAAAAGAGGCTGAACACAAAACACCCACAGTCTGAACCTGAAGGGAGGGAGCCAAGAAGCTTAAAGTTGAGCTGGTGAGGAAGGGCTGGGAGGGAGACATGTGCTGGTCTCTTCTGCAGGGCAAGTCTAAATGGGGGAGGCCTGCTTAATATCTTCAGAAGGACAGAGCCATGGCTAACATGCCTGAGGAAAAGAAGGGAATCCAGCTCCAGATTAATAAAGGTATTGTGAGAAACCACCTTGCTACCCTAAACAAATTATGTTCCCATGAGCTGAAATACATCTCAGGGTGTTGAAGTAGTTGGCAGAACTGCAAATTGTAATCTTAGAAAACTCCGGAGGTGCCAGAAGATTAGAGAAGAGTAAAGGTAGTCCCAGTATTTGAAAATGGGAAGAAGGAGCAGTTTGTACCGTGACATTTGCATTGTACAGGATACCAGGACGTCGTGTCTGTGAGCACTTTAGGATACAAGGGCTATCTGGAGCAAGGGTGAATTTGTCACGAAGTCCTGTTGGATGTCTCTGAGTATGATATCCTGGTGGACAAGATGGATTAACATGGGCAGGTAGTATTGCACTCCCATAGGTTTGAATGGGAATAATGGGAATCCCATTGAATAAGGCCCCTTTCCAGCTCATACAATTTATAGTTCTATATTTTGTGTTCTCCGAAATGTTGGGAATGGAGGTTCACAGCATCCGAAGAGCATCCTTTTGAGGAGGGCTGCTTTCTGCCACAGTTAAATTCTGGAATCAGGAGACAAAAAAAGATTCGGACCACAATATAAGCCGTGGCCCAAAAGGTATGCCTGGGTCAGGAGGGGATCGTGCCCAGCAGCTGGAAGTGCAGCAGATCTCTCCACGGACACCCTTCTGCCGCCAGCCTCAAGAAGAAACAGGACCGCCTGGCCGCCGGCACGTTGGGCTGCTTCTGCTTATCTGACGGCGAGATGGGGAGCCTCTTCCTCCTCGCCGGAAGAAGAGAGGCTAGGACGGAGACCGCGGCACGCCCTTTGCCTGGCAGGAGAGGCCTGTGGGGTGCTGTGGGTCCCTTGCACGGTGCGGTCTGCCTTAGAAAACGAGGTGAGCCGGGGCGGCTTCCTACCGCGGCCCGCTTGAAGGAGGGGTTGGCCCTTCATGCCGGAGTAGGAGCTTCGCTGCTGCAGCGGCTGCTGGTGACCGCTGCCAGGAGGAGAAACTGGCCGCGACGGCCTACGAGCCCGAACCCCCGCCAGGCTCGCGTCCATCTGCCTTTCCCTCCGGTTGCGCCCGAGGCGCGCGCGCGCGCGCGGCCAAAAAACCCTGAGCGACCTTTTAGGCAGAGGCCCGCCGCCGCCGCCGCCGCCGTCTCCCAGATCCACGCAGCGCACAGACGCGCCGCGGCTCCGGCCTGTCGCTCGCCCACCCGCCCCGGCAACGAGCAAGCCACCGCGGCCCTCCTGCGGCGCAGGCGGCAGGACTAGGGTCCTCCTCCGCGGCCTGACTAGCCAGGCGGACGGCG